GTCTTTCTGTATGTACAAAATCGGAGCACCTTTCTACTCTTTCCAACTGTGTTGTAAGGATACACTGATAATTACAGCACAATGTGATAAGGTTTAGTGAATATTACCTGTTTGGAAATTTTGTGCATATATTTTGTATACGAGTACTCGTAGTACTCATTCAGCTGCAGTGACTTTGGATCACATTGAATCCATCTACTTTTAATGCCATGAAAACAAAAGTCAAACTATAAAATTCCTAATGCTTTTCGTGAAGACTATGTGATTGTAAATAGGTTTTTAAACCACAAAAGTATCTTTAACACAGCACTTCCAACAAACCTTTGAAATTTAGAGAGAAGAAAGGGCAGGTTGGATTTTGTTTTGCTTTAATCCTTCTGTGGACTAACAGAGGAAGCATTTCGCTTCTCTATGGAAACCAAACATGCAGCTGTGTATCATGCTCTGCAAATCAAAATACTCAAAGAAAGGACTTCTACACTTTAAACTTATTCAAGTATGATATTACTGTTTGGAAGGGAGGGAGGGAACTTCAGTTTTTAAAATATTTGCAATTAATGCTAGAAAATTTGAAACAATTATCTTGATACCATTACTTATCTTTAGTTTCTGTTAATAGCACACAGGGCATTTTGCACTTCAGAAGCATGCAGAACTATATAGCTTCAAATCAACCATTCAAAAAAAAATCAATAAATACCACTTATTCTGGTCACTCAGCATTTAGTACACACAATTGGTGTTTTTGATTCTTATTCTTTTACTGTAGCTTAAAAAATGGAATTATAACCAGGTGGAAACTACAGTATTTCATAATTTTAAAAGGGCAGGGGAGCTATGGGGATAAGTGATATGTTTGCTATTGCAGCAACATTTATACAAACAAAACAACAGAATGAAGAGACTTCAAAAGGCTAAAACTAACATTAAATGTATCCCCCTCCCCCATTTACATGCAGTACAGAGAAAGAAGGCAAAACAAGGGAGACTCAGATGGCAATGGGAGCATGGACAAATAACAGCTTAAAATAAAGACAAATTTTTGCAAATTATGTCACTACATTAACTGAAGTCAAGAAGTATCTGAAATAAAAAATTATAACTCCCCCCCTCTACTTTGATGCTATCTTTTATATCTGTGACTCAGTGGTGTCAACCAGATTTGAAACAGTACAATATGATGCAGAACAAAGTAACTATGAAATGTGCTATAGTGTTAAAACCAAACCAGATTGTACAATATCAGGTGAAGAAAGATAAAACAAGTTAGTGAAAGGAAAAATAAAATTTTAAGAAATAAAGGGAAACAGAGGGGCACATTCTTTATCATGCATTAAAACACACCACAGATTTCTGAAATTTCACACACTATATCAACTGAAAAATATTTATAAAATTGTTTATAGAGTGTGCTCTGTAATTATTATGGAAAATAAAGAGAGAAATCACTACAGTAGTTCCTTTATCTAAAGCCAATCAAGGGCCATATGACACCCCTAAAAGCATAACAGTTATGTGTTAAAGTGTTTTTATTCAATGAATTAGCATACAGTATATGTATACATTTTGCTAGCTCTCATTTTTATCAAGTCTAATGATATCTAATGTTTGCCCTGTATCTGCAAATTCTCTAACCATTTTAACAACGTGAAAATCTAAGCTTTCTGCTTTGAAAGTTTGCAAATTCAAAACTTAAGTAGTTTGGGGAAATAATCAAAAAGGAATTTAAAGGCAGAAAGAAAATTATGTAAATTTCAAGAAGGGTTGTTGGTTTTGCCATATTCTGGGAAATTTTAAGAAAAGTTTGAACAGTGGTTTTGGATTGAATTACAAAATACAGAATTAATGTGATTGGTTTTTAAAATGTAAAATACTGCATATCAGCGTGCATAAAAACCGAATGGAACAGACTTCCCTTGTAAAATTTAGAAGAACAGAGCTATCCAAATCCAGAGACCAAAATTATTTCCCCTGGTTTTTTTTCTGCACTTTCAGATGGATTTAGGGTAAAGAGCAAGTGAAAGCTTATCTCATTTAGGAAAGTGAGGGTGAATTCTTTCAGTGAGGTGGTGGTTTATCACTAGGACAAAACAAGAAAGGAGAGCAAGTGAAAGCTTATCTCATTTAGGAAACTGAGGGTGAATTCTTTCAGACAAAACAAGAAAGGAGGGTTTTTTTGTTTTTTGTTTTGTTTTCTCCCTTTCTGTCTTTCAACAAGCGTTTGTTGCCCCAGCACAGCAGGAGCTGTCAACCTCTTGCTCTGAGCAGAGAATCTGTTGAAGGCAAAATGTAACATAAAAATCCAAACTAAAAGAGGTATCAGCTGTAAGGGTCAACATTAGACACCAGCATTTGTTGACTGCAGCTGAAATGCCCTTCTGATGTCAGATCCCTCTTCTTCTGGCACAGGCTTCCTCTGCTCACTGATGACAGACACATGCTCATTCCATTGGCAGAACTCTGAGCACAGGGCAGGTAATTAGACCATGGCAAGGGTAATCTTAAGTAATATCCAACATCTCCAGGTTGGGAGAAATATGGAGCTAGTCCAGCTATGGACATTTTAGCTGCACACTAATGGGACCACATTCTGTATAGGATTTGCTGCTGTGTACTGCCCAAGCTGTCACCAACTTATGATGATCCCATAAATGGCCATCCTGTAATTAACAGCTCTGCTCAGGTCTTCCAAACTCACAGCTATGGCTTTCTTTACAGAGTTACTTCATCTCATACTTGGTCCTCGTTTTTCTTCTATTTCATGTACAAATGCACTATAGACCAATCCTAACCCTGACAGCTGCCCAAGAGACATCAGGGGTGGTGGGAATTTATCCCTTCACTGACAAAGAACATTTCCAACTGCAGAGACAGTGTCTGCAGCATAGCCCCCAGTCCCACACTAATACACGTGGTAAATCCTCTGAAGGTATAAAGCTACGAAAGGGGCTGCTTGGGAGTGGGATACAGGTAGGCTGGAGGTAGCCTTGAATCTACTACAATCCTTTTGCTCCATGGGGAAGCCCCAAAGTATCTAATTCCATACAGACTGGAACCAACTGTAGGGGTGGGAGAGATCTTAATCTGTGCAGGGAAAGTAGGGGGAAATCACATTCACACACAAACACACACCCTCCTCACATAGTCTCTCTTTCCATGCTGATAAACTCAAGCAAGCAAAGCTTTGAAGAGAGAGGAAGATCCACCCCATCACTCTCCCCTGCCCCCACGTTTCAGAAGCCTACTGCCATCATTCTGGCTTAAGGCCGTTTCCTGCTACCAAATTGAGTTGGTTGAAGGCAGGCAGGTAGGCAGGCGGAAAGGAAGCAAGGAAGAAAGAAAGAAAGCTTTTCACCTCCTGAACTACTTATAGTAAAATCTTAAATTAGGTGTTTAAAATATCAGCCCTTATTGCCAAAGGATTATGTTCCACACCTGCGATACATTCAAGTGCATAATTTTGTTCTGTTTCACTCTAAAAATGAGCAGACATTCAGTCCTTTAATTCCAAATTACAAAAAGATAAGATAAGTAAGGAACAGTGTAGAGTATGGACCAAAAAAATAGAGAGAGATGTCTTGTGAGGTCAAGCAGCAGGTGCAATGCCCCATTCACAAGGTTCCAGTTTTCACACATACACACCTCAGAGACTCAAAAGACCTTTCCACTGGGAACTAGCAAACTATGTGGATATGAACAGGCTGCTACATACAAAGAGTGCTTCATAGGAAGTCATTCTGCCAGACCAAATAGCAGCAAATGTCACCTGTCAGCTATGTGTACAAGGGGAAGGGATTTCTTTGTTTTAAGATGCCATGTTTTACAAGGTACAGTGGTGCCTCGCATTATGATGTTAATTCGTTCCAGCAAAATCGCTGTAGAACGAAAACATCGTAAAGCGATTTTAAAAAGCCCATAGAAACGCATTAAAACCCGATTAATGCATTCCTATGGGCTTGAAACTCACCGTCCAGCGAAGATCCTCCATAGGCCATTTTCGCTGCCCGTGCAGTGAGGAATCCGTCCCAGAAAACAGTGGGCGGCCATTTTTTTACCCATTTTGAAACTGCCGATCAGGTGTGCGAAAATCATCGTTTTGCGATAATCGGTTAGCGAAGCAGGGAACCGATCATCGCAAAGCGAAAAAAAAAACATAGGAAACATCGTCGTTACGCGATTTTGTCATAAAACGAAGCACTCGTCTTGCGAGGCACCACTGTATACTATATTTATAGTTCTCTGCCCTCTATGTATTTGGTGTGCTCAAGAAGAGAACCTATATAAATATTGATGTCTGTGCAACATTATGAAGGGGGACAAAAAAGTCCTGGACAACTCAGGACTCACCTACAAGGAAGGCATTTATATGCATACATGGGGGGGGATTCTCCTGAACCCATTTTTCATGAGAGGTTTAAAAGAACTTTTACCTGTTTGCTTTTTTGTTTTAGTAAATTATGATCATCTAATTAATTTTTGCCGTCTCTTTGTGACCACATACATAGGTCCACTATGATGGGCCATTAACTTTTCAGAAAACACCATGATGGGTTGTCAGCAATTTCTCACTGTTTAAGAAAACTATGACTCTGCAATTATCATATTTCAATACTGTGCACGATCTAAAGTGAGTTAGACATTATACTCAAATCTGGGGGACCCTATGTTTAACTTTCTCTGGATTGTGCTTATTTTGTTAATTCCGTATAGTTGAACTTTAAACATTCATTAGACTAGTGATAAAATTATGAGAGCAGGCAACTCAAACTATAGCAGAAGCTTAGTGGATGTCTGCCTATGGAAAGTTTTCTAGTGATAATTTGAGAATAGGCATTGCCAACACAGCACATTTTAGGAAAACAGAAAAAAAGGTTATAATGTTGTAGATGACATTCCTCTAATTCTTAATTGAAATATGGATAAACATAAAAGCAGCATCAAGCTCTATGTACCACATGCCACCCCCCACTTCACAAGCATCCCACCTTAGCTGCACTCACCAATCGGAACGTCTGTCCCCTCCTCAATGCGGATGGGCAGTGCTGGTTCCTCCATAGGGTGAGGCACTGATAGAAAGTAATGAATGATGGTAGTATTTGTCGCAAAATGGTCACAAGTAAGATGGTTCCTTCTTAATACTACAGTTACAAATGAAATTGGTGATGGCACTAAACAACCCACTCCCCACCTCCCACACAAGGACTTCATGGTAAGAAAAAAAAACACCATGTCAGAATATTCTATATGTCCCACTATACTGGAGATACAATCTTGACCAGGACTAATCTGATATGTATATTAGATATCTATGTGCCAATAAGCACATAGATATGTATGTATCTATAGATGGTTCCTTGCATGATATGCTATCCTAACAAGATGCATCTGGTATGGGGCTGAGCTAAAGGAGAAGGTGCACAGTCACTCCTTCATTGATTAGTGGTGGCAGCTGGTTTGATGACAGGCAAGAATTTGTGTGAGAGTCATTTCCCCCTTCTCACAAACCATTGCTGTGGATAACAGCCCCATCTTTTTTTCAAGTGGGTCTGACAGCAGTTACAGAATGGGGAGAAAGCTGCCTTCCCCACAACTCACCTGTAAATTGGCAGGTGATGCTGGGAAGAAAGGAATGGGTTTGCCAGCCCCCTCCCTGTTCTACTTCCACTGCTGTTTAAACCCTAGGTACTACCTCCTGTTTCCAATGGCTCTGAACTCAATGGCTTTTATGAACCCTGGATCAAAAGGTGGCAGTGACAGCCATGAGCACCCCGCTTTATACACTGTTTCTATGTGGAAACTCTCCATCAAGTGGCATTGGCAGGGCCAGTGGGTACCTACCAACATTTCCTCTAAGCTGCATGACCATGGAGCCTCACAGCACTGCATCGCCCCCATGCACCCCTAGCCAGTGTTGCTGCCCATTAGGTTCCGGCTGCGGTCAGAACCCACATGGGGCAGGGTTTCCACTCAGTGCTGGTGGAAAACTGAATGCAATCAAAGAGCAGCATTTGCAACCAGAATCAAAGGGGTGGCAACACTGGCTGCAGGTGCACTGGGCCAAGGTAGTGCCGCGCGGCTGCACAGCTTAGAGGGAACATTGGATGTCGCCGTCCAGAAGACGGTGCTCAACACCACAGTAGTAAGGAAGGGTACAAAATAAATGTCTATAATCTAGTTATCTAATTTTGTGTACAATGGACTAGAGATGAATGGACTATCACCCAAGAGGCAGGACAGAGGCCTCTTTCTCTAGTTCTTCTGCCTCCAGCATTTGAGTCAGACTCATTCCTACCCCTCCTCCCATCATGATGTTTATCAGGTTCCTGAATATTTGCCTGAGGCGGAATTCTGTGACAAGTTAAAATGCAGAACAAGGGCATGGCTTAAGGGAAATGGAAGTCTGTAACCAATTCCACTGTACAAATGGCTATGCCCAGCACATACATAATTATAAATAGAAGGTGCATTGCACAAGCAGCTTCTGTTCTAAAAGCTCAGCTCATATATTAGCTCCACAAGAGCAAGGAGATTTTCTATATATTCTATATATGAATATATAGTTGCTAGGCAAAGATAAGCCACATATGGAAAGATACACTGCAGAAGTTGAATTACATTTTTTTAAAAAAAGAAATTAAAGTGCAGTATTTTGTTAAATCTTTGCCCAATACCAATATTCCTTTGTTTGCCATCTAGTAAGGCACAGGACATGAACATAATATAAAACAGACTCCATGTTATGGAATAATGGCAACATTTTCCTCTGAGGCCAATTTTGCTTTAGCTAAATAATATTCTCATAACTAAATGAAGTCCTGTCTTTGCTGAACCCGTATATAATTAATGAGTTTTCAAACACAGCAGCTAGGGCTTAAAAACTGTGCAACTAGATCACTGTGCCCATGTAGTATTCAGTCTTCCTCACAGCAACCCTTCATGACATATGAGGAAAGTCTTTGAAAATGAAAAGGAATTCAGGAGCAAATTGTGATATGACATAATTATTATTGTTTAAAGTCGTAGGAATGCCCCAATCCAAGTTGGTACGCTCTGACACATATTGACTTTGGTCCCATACTATAATAATGCCAAGACCGTGCTTCTTTTGCAAGTGTCGCTCTTGCACATGGGGACACAGTGGGATCACCACTTGCACAATAGCAGGATGGTCTCATATTGCTACATAGGTGAGACTCTCTCCTCAGTAGAAGCTCAGTGGGATATCAGCCAAGGGCTTGCTTAAAGGAGCTCTTTGCTACTACCCACATCTGCAAGCAAGCTAAGCCCATGAGCAGTATGTAAAACAGTGGATGCTGCTTCTTTTTCTCTTCCCTCCCCATCCTTTCCTTCCTTTTGTGCTATGTCTCTTGGGATGTAAAACTCTGGAGAGGAATTGACTTGTTTTCTAGTGATCTAAAAACCACTCTGGGACAGTGGAGAAAATGTTTTCAATCAATCAATCAATATTTATTATAACTTGATACTTTATTTGCTCTGAGTAAAACGTGAAGGCAACATGAACCACTGACAGCTACTGAAACTGACTCTCTAGCACAGCCTTGTGGTTAAAAACTTGTTCATTCACACAGGATGAGTCACTACTAGCACTGCACTTATATCAGTAGACCACCAGACCTCGAGCTCTACTGTGACGCAGGCATCAGCAGACAGACTAAAGTGGCCGAGGTTTTCTGGGGTGTTGATGACAAATGTTTGCGCTTTCCTTCAAAGGTGTTAACAGGTAATGCAAAATCACAGAAGGAGCTTGAAATTTTTTAATGCTAACAGAAGCCACAGGCTAACTTACTCTCTTGTATACACACAGTAATTCTGCAAGTAGTAACTTGGATTATGCAGTGGAATCCAAGAAACAGAAAGCGCAAAATCGGCAGCAAATCCATGATGAGCTCTTACAGTACTTTTTCCTATTACTTTGAACTAACCTTTTACTTTACAGTCCCAAAGGTATTTTACTCAGGAGTAAGTCTCACTCAGTTCAGCAGAACTTACTCTCTAGTAGTAACTGCATTTAGGATTGCAGCTTTAAGAGCACAAACTTATGTATGTCTACTCAGGAATAAGTCCCACTGGTTTTAATGGAGCTTATTCACATAAATAGGTATAGGATGGCAGCTGTAGTAACTCTTCCTCATCCATTTCTAGGAGGGAAACAATCATACTTACCAGTTTGATTATAAGAAACTTAGCAATTTGTCAATCTGAAGACTCAGTTCCTGACTGTACAGTTATTGTTATTATAATTATTGCTATCATCATCATCATCATCTAGTCAGCATGATCTTACTTCTGTAAATTGGAAATCACAGGAACACTTTTTTGCAACTTATGTATTACTGAGACCAAGCAAACAAGATGTTGATTGTACAGTCTCTGCTCATAAATCATCCTCCCTATAGAGACTTGCACAGACTGATGTAAGAATGAATAAGGGGAGAAACCATTAGCAGCATATGCTGTTCTGCCCCCTCACTCACAATCTGGAATTAAAAGGTATATCCTTACATTCAGTGCTCTTTAATATTGAGATTTTTAAAAATTACAGCATTTTGGGGCTGCAGTAAAAATAAATAAATAATAATGGTAAAAATTACAACAGCAGTGACAATATAATGTGAAAAACAATGGGTAGCAAGTTGATAAATATTTATCAGCACAAAATTTAACTTGATTTTTTTTTTGCAAAGTCTTTAACTCTCTTTCTATCAGCAAATGCTCAACATCTGGATTCTGAACATTCAGGCTGCTCTACTAATATTTTGCGATTTTCATTAATTAGCATAAATAACACTTACATGAAGAAGAGTCTCTCCAGAATGGATTTTCTCTTCCTGTTTCAGAAAAAGAAAAAATAAAATAAAATAAAATAAAATAAACAAAACAAAATGAGGGGAAAAAATATGCTCATGGAAGGAAAGAAAATATGAATGTAATCCTGGCAGGTATGACTAGCCCATATATTTTTTAAAAAATTCAAGGCAGTGCAGACTGTGCTATCAGGCAGCAGCTTCTAATTTACCACTTCAACCTTTAACACATAGTGCCAGCAGGGAATTCTGGCAAAATGCCTCAAAAGTAAGCAGATTATCTGTGTAAGTAAAAAATAAAGTTCTAACACCATTCTACCTGGAAAAAGATAGGAAGGGGTTTTAATCCCCTTCTGCTGACCTTTTTTTAAATGGGTCTTTGCCCAGGATCCTCAGTTTACCAGACCTTTTCTAGCACTAAAAAAAAATCCTCTTTGGCTTTCAATAGGGACTCTAAACTTTCAGAATGAGCTGGAAATCTGCTTAGGAACTGCCTTGTGGGAAAGCCGCCTTACACACCAGATCACTTTGTCGATTTAGTCCAGTATTACATACTCTGACTGGCAGTAGCTCTTCAAAGAATCAGGTAAATATTTTTTTTCCCTTCCACACCACTTTGCACTTAGTGCTTTTTAAATTTAGGACTCTAGGCATGTAAAGCCTAGACCTTCTGCATGTAAAGCATGTTCTCCAATAACTAAGCTTTAATTCTGGCTTGTATCCCACGACGAGGCCTCACTTAAACTAGACAGAAGTCACTCAGAAACCGTTAGCATTAGTTTTTAACCTTTCTAAGAATCTTATGGCTTGAGTGCAAAATGTTTTGAACTCTTAAGTGACTGCAGCTTTCAGAACCTATGCAGTATCTAGGTCTCTTGTAACACTGAATTAATAGCAAAATGATAATGGCAGTGATGACAAAACTAAATAATGTTTAAAAGAAGAGCCTGGTGTTACAAAGCTCAACTAAAGTCACTGAATGATTTCACTTTAGCTGAATTCTAAAGCATATAAAGTGTATATGGCTTATGCCAGAAGAGAGTCCCCTAAGGAACATATACGTACAACAGCAGAGACTATGGGAGACGGTCACGTTACAATTTGGGTGTGAAGCAAGAACTTCCAACAAACTGAAGAAGTCCACACTCTCTCATAAGCATGGTCACACAAAAAAATGAAGACCGTCTTCACACCTTATTTTTATTTAAGTCTGCAGTTTGGAAAAGATGTCACACAGAACATGTCCTGCAAACCAAAAGCTGGCATGGTTCCTCATACTTATATTCTTCTGAAGTCACTTTTAAATATTTGATACTTAAGTCTGTTACACTAGTTTAAACCTAATGGAATATTTAACATGGTTTAAACAAAAAAAAAGTTTAAAAAATTAATTCTCATAGAACTCAGTCACTTCAAGCTTTAACTAACAGCTCATCTCAAATACATGTTTTAAAAAACTGACTTTAAAATTATTACTCTACCAAAAGGAGGCCACACCTGTGAATTACATTGTGTACATATAAGGACTGTTTCACATGTTATACAATACTGTAGTAAAATAATGTTTAACACAATATATGTTGGAGACCCATATCTCAAATTCTGTATTTCTGGCATGGAGGTAAATATAAAAGAAAATGGCCAAAATCCTTTTGCCTAGTATAATAAATCATACTAGAGTAAGCCCATTGACTCAATGGGCCTTTGGAGAGCCAACTCCTCTGTAAGTTACGGTGCTGATTCAAATGGGTCTACTGGAATTGTGACTTACTTTAACACAGTAAGCCAAACTTAGAGTAGGCCCATAAGAATAAATGGAACTTACTGAGGAGCTGACTCACCAAATCCCCATTGACTCACTGAGCCTACTCTAGTGCAATTCACTGCACTAAGAAACAGGATTTTTGACCAGAGTTTGCAAAGCAGCCCTTAATACCAGAAAGTGTTGATATTAGAAAATGAATGTATCTTGATAAATGGATGGAATCTGCTTGAATAATCAGAGAAAAGTCATGTTTACAATAGGAACAGAGCACACATATACAGCTATTTCATGCTTAGGCAAGCTGCATCTACAAAGCAAGCTGCATCTAAACAAAGATTCCTAAATTGAAGCAAGCTAATTTGATTTGGAGGCAAAGCAAAGAGGGAGGTGGATAGGGGGTGATAGGAAATGTGGGATTATATACTGAACACTCATAATTTTGCCACGAGGCAAAATTTTCGGTCCCTGTTTTAAGACGTTCCTGGAAATGGCAGAACATGAACGGAGTTGACAAAAACTTAAACACATCAAGAGGGAAGTGTATTATTACTACCATTACTACTATGTTATATAACGTATACAGTAGGCAGCCCTGGATATTTGCTCCTGGCCTTCAAGCCCTATTTAACTAATGTCTTCTTAATATACCTGCCAGCAAGAAAGCTAGTTAGCAAAGCTGGACTACTCTGCTGCCAAGGAACCTTTGAGCAGCCCAGGTGCTGCTGCTAAAAAATTGAGCCTCTTTTTTTTCATGAGCATGTGTAGTGTTTAGTTTGGAAACCAAGATGAGTTCCAACCACTGCTCACATGGAACTGCAGTCTCTTGGCAACATTAAAACTCACAATCTAATCTATGCAATGAGGTTGTGAGACTAACTATGAACTGCAAATTCAGCGCAACTATGAAGGAACTACAGTATAAAGATGAGATTTCAAGAAGTCACATTACGTTTCCTGTTTGCTACAATTATTTGATCCAGATACAGGTTCATATACACACACAGAGGTAAGTTAAAGAAGCATTGGGCTGTATAGGTGGCTGTCTTTTATTGCTCAGCTTTTATCATATATAAAATATTAGCCATGATCTAAAGATGCTTGGCACACTACCACAAGCACAGCAAAAGCTGAATGCTTCCTGCAGAGCTCAAAGGTTCTACAGAGAAATCTGGAAGAGCAAGCGGAGTTCTGCTACTACTGTATCCTGATTAGATCTCAAACAGAGTGGGAGTTAAGAAAAATGACCAAATTCAGAATGGATGCAACGTTCTCCACTTCTAACCATAATCAGCAAGCTGCATTCTTGAAGGTTTGTGAACTAAGCCTTTATATTTCTGATCCCCTCCTACAGTATGTTTATGGATGCTCTCCCCTCCTGCGCCCCCCCCCCCGGAATTCTGCACTGCCCAAACATGGTCCAAGGGCTAAGGTTGTTATGTGAAAATATGGCTGTATAAATATTAGATACAAGGTAATGGTCAGAGTGCTAAACAAAGGGCTCAGGCGGCAACACCCACACAGCCGCAGAATTCAGTGGGTGACCTTAAGCCAGTTACAGTGTGGAAACTAACCGACTTCACAGTGTTGTTGTGATGTTACAGTGAAGAGAACCACAAGTGCATACACTGCCTGGAACTCAATTAAACAGAGATGGGATATGAATGTAACAAACTAAAAGACATCAAGCCAGGCAGGTCCTGTTTTCCATTCCCAACCAATTTCCCTTTCCTTCTATTCTTCATCCCTTGGCAGCATTAATTTCTATCCAGTGCCTCGCCTTTATCCTTACCTCCTTCCTTTTGTCACTGTAACCCATTCCTGTTCATCTGTTAAGATGAAGAAAAGCACAATGCCTTAGTGACATCAGCAGCCATTGTCTTCAAGCTTCTTTCCTTCATTCCGTAAGTTGGCAGAGAATTCTGATTTGAGGGGCTGGTGTAATGATTGCGGAAGTCACCAAGTGACTTAAGCAGGAAATGCCTGTGGTGGTCTTTGCAGCTACTATAGAGAATGGGGTATTTAGGTGTCCCTGTTTGCCTGCAGAAGAGCAAAGGTGCATCATATTCATTTTTCGCCAGACTTCTCAGTCTTGTAACAATAAACAAGCCAAGGAAAACATATCCTTTCTTAGGGGAATACAGCACTGGTGAGGGCAGCTCCTCACTCTTGGAGTACAGCTTTCCAAGATTATTTCCTCTCCGTTCCAACCCTGCTCTTTAATAGAAGCCTTTCCTCATTGATTTGAGTGAAACAGTTCTGAGGACAGTGTCATTACGCCATGTAACATCATAGGGCCAGTATTCTCACTGGTCCATTGTCCAAAAGAGATGGGTTCACCCTGTCACAAATTCAACTCCCCAGTGTGCTTCCTGGGAGAGGGGCCAGCTGAGATCACCAGAGTGTGTATGACTCAAAAAGGGTCATGTGTCCTGCCATCTGTGCAATCTTGAGCAAGCTTCATAGTCCTAGGGCACTACTATAAGGAGGGAGTAGTAAAACACTTTTCAAGTTTCATTTTCCAAGAATCCTAGGCCAGCTGCCAAAAGTTGGAATCAACCTGATGGCACAACAGCAGCACCAGCAGTTGAAGATAAGAAGTGAACTTTGTACTACCTTGTAAAGTTGATATAGTCCTGTAAGGTAGGAAGTGACTGAGTAGCTACTTGGGAGTTTATTCACTAGATTTCATTTATTGATCCTTTTCTCCTTGTAACCACAAGTATGTATTAAGAACAGCGATGTGCAGTTTAAACAGGATACAGAGGAACGTTTAGAAGAGCTGGCAATCAGCATGTGAACAGCTGCATGAATAGTGCTGGGCATGGCGCTAGTATTAAAATGAACAGCATCTGATCTGAACGTCAGAGCTGAGTCTCGATCTCTTCCTGTTCTGTTGCACCAAAACCAACAAACAATCTTAGGGTACCCTGAAGACTGAAAACGAAGGTGACCAAAATTTAAGACTAAAAACAAAAACTAAAGCTAGCATAACTACAACAGACTAAAGACCAACCTGTCCTCCATTCTGATTATTATTTATTTTTTTTATTTTTTTGCATCTCCTTAAAATTTGCTTCACTTTCACATTCTCTCCTTTCCTTTCCTGTTTCTTCTCTGGGGTGGAGGTGTGCATCTGCATGTGTGTGCATGTATGTGTGTGTTCCTTCTGTGCTTTCTGGGCTCAGGTTACAGGGCAGGGGGTTACATCATGAAGAACTGGCATGCTTGAAGGTTTCTCATAGCTTTTTTTAAAATTACATATTGCCAGAAATAATCTTTTTTTAAAAATTGATTCTTATACAACCAACACCGGCCAATGCAAAGAGATTTTGTAATATTTGGCTTTGAAGGCCTGAGTGTCCAGCATCAACCTAGGATAACATCCTATACATCAACTTGCCAAGTCAGTGAGATAGCCAGAAAACATTTAGCTTGCAACACCGTGACCACATTATGTAAACCACAGATGAACTGAATATTTTCTTAACAATAACTGGTAGAATGTTGAATTATTTCCACAGAGGAGTATCACTTTCGTATTAAGTTGCAGACATTTCCCAAAACAATTGTAACTACTTTTTGCACCATGTAATGGAAAAAAAAAGATGCACTGTGCTGAGATGCCCTCATTTTATGGTGTAATGGTTAACATCCTCAATTAATTGTTAAAAATTTAATATGTCATACACAGGATTTAACTCAGATACATATCACTGATTATTTCATTACCTCTTTTCCCTTTGGGACAAAATAACGGAGTTTGTCTATACCACATCTCTATTTTCTTGTAGAGACATTATTTTGCAGAGCAATTTACATTACCACAATGTAAACAAATACGTATAATATTTAGATCTGGTTAGATCTGACAAGCAGAATTTCTGGATAGAGAAATCAATGAAATATGCATCTGTTATCAAAAATGAGCACACAATCTCAATAATCCATGTGCAAAACTGTTTGGAAACACTGAAACTACTAAATTGTTCTGTTGACTATGCAATGCGTATTATATTCAATATTTCTTTGCTCGGAACCTTGAAACAGCTGTGCAAAACCTTGGGTCCTTTTCAGGAGGAACGTAAGGTATAAATATTTTGAAGAAATAAATTAGCTGAATAAACATACCTTGACTATGTATATGTATTTTCAACAAGCACCAGACTACCACCTAACTCAGTCTAACTCCAATTATGCAGAAGATGGTGCACCCTAAGTGCAGAGCAGGAACAAAAAGATTCCTTAAGTAAAGAACATTGTAGCAAACTGATACAGTGGTGCCTCGCATAACGGGCACCCTGTTTAACGACGAATCCGCATAACGATGTTTCCTATGGGGGGAAATCGCTTTGCGACGATCGGTAAGCTGTTTCGCTTACCGATTTCCACATAGCGATGTTTTTTCCCCAGCTGATCGGCGGTTCCAAAATGGCCACCGGGTAAAACAGGGACGGATTCCTTGCATACCGGGCAGCTAAAATGGCCGCCATATGGAGGATTTTCACTTAAAAGGTACGTTTTAAGCCCATAGGAACGCATTGAAGGGGATTCAATGCATTCCTATGGGCTTTTTAATTTCGCATAGCGACAAATCCGTATAGCAACGATTTTTGCTGCACGGATTATCGTCGCTGTGCGGGGCACCACTTGTACTTATTGAGACAAGTAAGCCAACCTATGTATTACTGTCATTTCCCTTCTCCAATTCACCAGCCACTCTGTCCTGAAGACACAGAAAGAGGGAGGGAAGGGAAATCATTCCTGCTCCCAGTGAAAGAGATCTAATCAGAGCAACTACCAACCTTTATGGCAAAATACTCAGAAGTTCAGCTAAAAAAGAATAAGATCTACCACTCTGCTGGATTCTTCTGTGTATATGTGGCTTTAAGTGATTTTGTGAGAAAACTAGTAGCAGAACTGAACAGGAACTGCAGGTAAGAGTGCAGAATAGTTCCAAGAACTGACCAGGCCCCCACTCCTTACCAGCTACCAAACATCACGGGTCATGCCATTTGTGACATTCATGCTACAGGCTAGCATCCCATCTGGGAGCATGAAACATTCTCGGCATTCTAGTGTGAGAACTCTACCCAACAAATGTCCTCTAGTTACAGTTGTTGGAAATGCCTCATAAGAAAGGAGCAAGATCTTGTGCCAAACTCCCTCTTAGAGTGCCCACATTTCCTCTCACAAAGTCAACAGTAGTAGGGTAGTTATCATTTTGAATGAAGAATGGTGCAATCACTGGTGGTACAAAGGAGATAAATATCTACTTCCCCAACAATTGCTTCACTGATCAAACCGGCAGCCTGCCCTCCCGCCGCACATTTTTTTCAATTAGAACTGAAATATCTGTCCCTGAACGTTCAGTATTCCATATTTAAGATGCCACTGGTGGTCTGGCAAACTACCCCCTGGATAGAAATAACCCCTGGATAGAAATTTATCTAGTGTGGTATACAGTGCAGGGTAATTAATGGACAGAGTGGCAGAACAGGATTCGGGCGAACCAGGTTTAGATCTCCACTTGCCCATGTAAACTCACTGGGCTGTGACACTAGGAAAACCATTTCTTAAATGTCTCGATTTACGCTGAAATCCCTATTAGGGTTGCTCTAAGTCAGTTAAAACTTGATAGCACATAACACACAGAGAAAAATTTGTCTCATCCAAGCCTGACTGGAGCAACAAGGTTCTGACTAATGAATATCTCATTCATCTATTTTTAGTATTCTAGCCAAGTGTTGTCCTATATCACTTCCCACTATTATTTATTAGCCTTATTGACCCCAGTCTATCTCCTTCTCTCACAAGAACACTTTATATATATTTATTCTGTCATTGTAAAGAAATCATATTAATGTTCAGATGATAGTATTCCAATATATATAAGGGTTTCTCCAATGTGAAGTAACTCCAGCTTCACACCAGAATCTGTCCCTGATACCAATAAAATGAAAGCTGTTCATTTTAGAATCGGTTCACAGAATAACACTTTCAGACATTTGTCTGAACAAATGAACAACAGGCATCTTCTGCTGTTGGTAATCCATAAAATTAATATTTTAGCAGTGGTTCCCAACTTTGGGTCCCCAGACATTCTTGGACTGAAGTTCCCAGAAGCACTTGCCAGCACAGCTAGTGGTGAAGGCTTCTGGGAGTTGCAGTCCAAGAAAGTCTGGGGACCCAAGGGTGGGAACTGCTATGCTAGAGAAGCACCCTTCAACCACAATGCAAGTTTTGTTCATTGCTTCCTGAAGTCTGCTCTGCCCTTTTTCCAAAAACAAACATACAGACCAAATAAATTTTTCTAAATCCTGTCTTTTCCAGTCTTCCCTCCATGCATTCTATAAAATAACATATTTATTTGTCATATCTGAAATACTGCCCCCTACATGGCAGGATATTATTTGTCAGGTCCCAGCTAAAGTTGTGTCAGACTTTGCCGGGGATGGCAGTTCCATATAAGAAGATTACTGCAAAGGAAAGTGTGAAAGGAAAATGAACGATGAAGACCTTGTGAGAAAAAAAAATAGAAGGTGCCTGAAGATGGGGCCAGGAGGGGGGGGCTTACAAAATAAAAGGGAATAATGGAGGCTTTTAGTTTGTTTTTAAGCATAAGATGTCGTAGGTGAAATAAGAACATGCTAAAACTGAAAACTGAGAGGAAACAACTACTGTACTACAGTTAATATACATCTACAGTATTCATTTCTGCAGAGTTCATTCACTTTTTAAGGAAATAGCACTGTCATTACAGTAATAGATCAAATACAAGCTACAATCCATCCCTCTTCCCTTCTGCAAGAGATCCACCGATAAGGATCTGGGAACTATTCCTGGACACTCTTCTAAAG